TGATTGATTTTTTTGAAAATTTGTTTTTTTGTTTTTTTAATCCATATTATTCAAAGAGAAAATGAGAGAGATGATGATTCTGAAGCCACCCTATCCCAGCCATATTATTCACATATCGAGTCCCAACAGCAATAATGTAGGGATGAGCACGAAATACTGTAAATTAAATGCTGAATGGCAGTTCATGCAGGGAAAGAACATATCAATATTCGCATATTCATTCAAAAACATGAAAATTCTTAATGGAGTACCCTCATTTTTTATTGAATTCTTAAAAACCAATATTTATAATGAATTTTAATAATTTTTTCGAATTTTTTTTAAGCTTTATTCTGACCGATTCACCCGATTCCCGATCCGGATCGCCGATTCGCCGATCCGGATCGGTTTTTTGGAAGCCCGATCCGGGTCACCGATCCGTTTTTTAAACCATTGCTGCTAACTAAACAAAGTCTCTCTCGTTAAATAAAAGGTACTCTCTCTTTCTCTCTTATTGAGGAACAGGGAACCTCGAGCATTCTGTACAACGATTTCTCTCTCCCTAGTTATAAGTGTTTATAGTTATCCAGTTTTGTTGTTCCATTTTAGATAAGTAACCTCATTGTCTCGAAAAGTAATCTTTTTATTAAAATTATAATATTTTTGTCTACTGATAAAACTTTTAGACACTATAAATTTTATGTGTAAGTGATCTCATTATCCCGAAAAATAGTGATCTTATTATCCCGAAAAATAGTATGTTTTAACAAAATTATGATAATCCAGTGGCTGTTATGAATTTTAGTTACTTTCGCTTTCAATAAAAATTGCAATATTGCCAATACTGTAAGATTTACATATTTATGCATTTAATTGTATTCTTGTCCATCTGTGAATTTTAAACATTATAAGTTATACCGATTCCTATAAAATGATTATTTGCATAATTGTATTTCCATAAAATTGTGATATTTTCATGTATAACTTCAGATTTTCTTAAAAGCTCTTATATTAATAATGGATTGTTTATCATGTTATATTTCACGAATGTCCTTCAGAAGTGCTACCTTTCAGAAATTATTGCCAAAATATTTGATTGGTTACTTACAAATATTTCAATGGAAGTGCTTATTATAAATTGATTCAAGTGAATTCATGTTAAGGATTTCAAATATATTTTGAATATATGATATTGCTGATTTTTTATGTTTAAAGAGTTTCAAAGATAATTTAAGTACAAGTGGACCTATTAGGGATGCCGGTAGGGATTAATTTGCCGATGAGGTATAAGTGGGCCTATCCGGTACATCGAAAGGGATTAAGTGGACTCATCCGGTACGTCGGTGAGGTATGAGTGGACCTGCAGGGATTAAGTGGACTTATCCAGGATGCCGGTAGGGATTAAGTGGATCCATCAGGACGCTGGTGGGGTATATAGGTAACCTACTTAAGACACCAGTAGGGTACTTGCGTGAAATCTTTGAATTATGCATTTTTATTATAGTGTTTATATGCATTTCAATCTTTTGAATTATGTTAAATTGTGTATTCTTGAGAGTGAAATTGTTCTCCATAAATCCTCATGTTGTTGTTTTTAATATACACTCTTTTAGAAAATGTTTACATCTTCCAACCATGATTATTTTTTATGACTATGATGATCACTTACTGAGTAGCCAAACTAATCAAACTATGGTAAACCTTTTTTCAGGGTAATTACAGGCTTATAGTTCGAATGCAACAAGACCATCTTTGAAGAATTTGTAAACATGATTGACCTTTCCCTTATAACTTTTGATTATATGCACCCTTGAAATTTTTGTTCTATCAAGAGATGTTTATATCTAGCCCTTCGTGTTAATATCGGTTATGGGCAGATTTTGTACAGATTAAAAGAAATGGAAAAAATCTTAGTTTAGTACGAATATACTAGTAGAAATTTTAAACTTGTTATATATATAAATAGTATAAGAATAGTTTGTCACACCTGGGGAATCTTAAAAAACTTGGGATGTGACAAAATGATATCAGAGCAATATGTTTAGGATTCCTAGGAAACCTGAAGAAGAATAGGCTCTAAGTCACGCTTATTGTATCTAACCATATAACTTTGGAGAATAGGTTGCCCTTATGCAGCATCAAATGGAGAACAACAATCCACCTAGACAATCGGTTGTAAGAAATAGTGGGTGTGGCATCGAACAATTTAAAAAATTGAACCCACATTCTTTTAATTGTGTTGTAAATCCACTAGAAACCGAGGAATAAATTACGCAATTGAAATGAGTTTGGTACCAACAAAGCAAGTAACTCTCAGACATCATTTACTAGTAGTTTTAGAAAAAGAAAATTGTAATGAGGAATATATGGGGTGGTAATGTTTTCTTGTTAAGAGGGCTTAGTGCAGGAGATACAAAGGATATCTTAATAAGAGTATATGAGCTATAGCCATGATGCAGCGGAAGTGTGGTGGGCCCATAAACTACAAATCCAAAAGTTGATCTTAAAATACAAAATTTTATCTTATATTCAAAATTATGATATCCTTTTAAAATTGCAGTCAAAATTATGATGTCTTAAATCTAGAAATTTCCTCGTCTATCCTTCTAAGACAAACTTTCTCTCCTTATTTTTCTAAAATCCTTCCAAGATCAACTTTCTCTTTATTTTTCTAAAATCATATTCTTTCATAAATCGTCTATCCTCCACCTCCTCTTTCTCGAGTCCAGGTGGATCGGCCTTGAACACATGGGCATATTTTCAGTCTATTTCCAATCGAACCTCGCATTCAAGAGAGAATTGCCACCCCCATATATTCAAGAAAAAATCATAGGGACTTAAAAGTTGAGGGGCTTTTAAATCTATTATCCCGGTCATCTTGTATTAACTTGAATAACACTTCAAATAAGACACCTTTAAATCTATTCTCCCGGTCATCTTGTATTAACTTGAATAACACTTGAAATAAGATAAAAGAAAAAGAAAATAAGGGATGAGTTGAGGTGGTGGTTATACGTCCTTAAATTACACAGAAAGGGGTCTTGGACTTCATTACAATTAAGGACTTGGGGTTTGCCACCTAGCCAACCAAGTTAAATGTGAGACTAGGGAAAACATTGGGCAACACGCGTGAGAGACTAGGAATGTTTCACCCAAAGTGAAAACAGATAAAAAATCAGGACTTTTTTTATTTGAGAGGTTCTTGGATTAGATTTTATCTGCGGGAGTAAATAGACAACACACTCTCGCGATAGCATAAAACCTCTTGGCCTTGGAGAACGTGCAATTGATTGAGCACAAAATAAAAAATAAAATTTCTTAAATTTTATGATTTACTTTGACCTATTAAATTTCATGCCTAATGGATAAAAATGATTGCGAACTTTTTGTATGGTCACGTAAGATACGATCCTTTTTGTTTCGCATTTACTAATCTCATTCTCTCAATGTTGCGATATTTTAGTGTAATTTTTGTATGTCATTCCTAATCTCTCTCTGCTGATCCAATCTCTTTTCTCGTGAGAGCAGGGTTGGAAATGGGCCGGTGCCTTGGCCCAACTTGGTCCATTCATAGAAAACTAGGGCCTACGCCACCAAACGCGGCCCTCACTAGCTAAAACAAGATCGGCCCGATTTAGCCTGGCTTTTTCATATTTTTTAAAATTATTTAACTAGGGCCTAAGCAAAATGTGGCCCTCGCTAGCCAAAATAGGCTCGCCCTGATTTAGCTTGGCTTTTTCAATCTTTTTTTTTACATTATTTAACTAGTGCCTAAGGCACAAAATGTGTGGCCATCACTATCCAAAACAGAGTCGGCCCCTGTTAGCCCGACTTTTTCATCTTTTTGACATTATTTACCTGGGGCCTAAACCACAAAATATGGTCCTCGCTAGCCAAAAAAGGCTCGGCCCGGTTTGGCCTGGCTTTTTCATCTTTTTTACATTATTTTCCTTTTAATTTTACCAGCACGACTTTGGCCTCACCCGGCCATGATAGTGCCCTGGCCTGGCCGTGCTAGGACAAAAGCCGGGTTTGCACGGGCCTTAGGAGAATAGGGTCGGGTTAGTTTTTGACCCGGCCCATTGCCAGCCTTACATGAGCTACATTTTTTTTGGTTACTACTACTACTCGCTCTCTCTAACCACATATGTGAATACGAGGAGGAGCGTGGTACAAAATTACGATAAATTTCGGAATTTCTCAATAACCATTATATTTTTTTCGCTCTATTCTCTATCGCTCGCCATAAAACCAGTCTGGAACGTTAGTGGGAGAGCCCCGTGAGAACAGGGGATGGAGTTTTAGAGAGAGAAAGAGGAGACGATAGAGAGAGAAGGCTGCATAGTTGGTGAGAGAAAGAGGGACTTCGCCTCTGCGAAGGGCGGCGCCTTTGTGCAGGGTGAAAGTTGGAATTGAGAGAGAGAGAGAGAGAGAGAGAGAGCGGCGCCACATGAGAGATTAGAGAGAGAGGGTGGGAACTTTTAGAGAGAGGGAGTTTTTGACAATTGTCTGAAATGGCGGGCTCTTTAATGGCGGCTGCTTCTACTGTCTGTCCTCCGAGCACTAGGTCACTTGAGGATTACAGTTTCGGGGGCAGATTAAACCTAATCCCCTTTCAGTTCTCGGCCAGTTGCAGCCGCAAAACTAGAGTGAGAAGCCAATCCATTTGCGATATACAAAGGTGTGATTTTCTCCCTCGTCAAAGCAAAACATGAAATCCCAAAGTTCTTTATGTTACTCCGAGTGTGTGACCGCAACATTTGTGAAATTTTTGTTTATTAACGAATTTTGAATTATCAGATTTTTTGGAGAAATTGAATGGTAATATGTTGATTTATGTGACTTACTTCCTTTTGGTGAGTTTAATGGTATACTGTTTTCGATTGTATGCGACTTGTACGTTGTACCGTGTTTACTTGTAGCTGGAATTGAATGATTATTTGTTAAGGAATTTTGAATTATCGGGTTTTCTGTAGAAATTGAATGGTAATATGTTTATTTATGTAATTTACTTCTTTTTGGTGAGTTAATGGGACACTTTTCTCAATTGTATGCAACTTGTAGCGTGTTTACTTGTAGCTGGAATTGAATGATATAAATGGTGCAGCAGTTATATTTCATTTATTTTTTTCAATTGAAACATCAATTGTTTCGATTTTTATTTTGATTGTTAAGGTTTTCCCACCGAAGCAATCCATTTGCATCTTGTGGTCAATGGGTAAGTTTGCTGGTTTCTTTGGTTTTAGTTATTTATTTTTGGGAGCTTTCATATTTTAGGCTGTGAATTTATGGTATTGCAGAGTATTTGAATAGTTAAATTGTTTTATTGCATTTGTAGGAATTAAAATTATCTGCAGGGTTTGCATCCATAGTGTTTTCGTGCAAATTCTCAATTTGCATCGTTGATGTAATGGTTCGCCCAAAACTAATCCTTCTTCGAAAAATCGTAGTAATTGGATTAGACATTAATAAAGAAACATCTCAAGTGTGCCATTGATTAAATTGTTTGAATTTGATTTGAAAAAGCCTGATACCAACTGTTCTCATGCCTGAGCTGAAATTTAAGTAATAGCCATGGTTATGAAATCATCGGTCCACCATTTGAGGAATTATAGGAGTAGAACTATGACTGAGAATGTCTGATGTGGACATGATCATGTTTGAGCCAATGGTGGTGGGCTTGAATCAAAGAGCCCTTAGTCTCCACCCTCTATTACCAAGTATGGATGTTGGGGAGTGCATTTCAAACTTTTGATACATGTGCCATCGCATACTTCCCCATGTATTAGTGTTGTAAAACCTGCTACCCCTGTATTTCGTTGCTCCATTCCTTCTCTTTGCTTATTGTTCTTCCACACGACTCTTTCCTTGGTTATTCTTCTTCAGTATTTTTCTGCATAACTTTCTCTTCTTCATGACTCTTTTGACGTTGCTCTCCACCTTTTTTCTTGTATTTTGGTTGTGTAGTGTACTTCACAAATTTATTCTTTATTCCACCTCTTCTGATTGTCATTAATGTTTCTCCCATTGTGTTTTGTCCTTTCGCAGATTACACCATCTATCTTTCCTATTACCCCTTTTGTGTATTTGATTATTCTTTAATTCCCCCTCCCCACCTTTGTATTGCTCCTTCTCTATTGTTTGGTGATCACCTAGTGGGTACCTTGAGAAACACATGTGTGACATAATTCATACTCTCTCAAAGAAGAAGATTGGGGAAAGAGCAAGGCAACGAGGCTCAAGATTTGATCATTCTTTAATAATAACAATAATAATAATATAAAAAAAAAAAAACGAGGCTAAAGATTTTTTTTTTCTCTCATACTTGAGTGGGACACTTTATTGAACTTGAAAATGACATATTCTTTATTATTGGTGTTTGAAGTCGAGTCATCCTCATATGAGGTTCATCCACTTTCTATATCTGCTCCACTCGGGGATCTTTGCGTAGTTGGTTTTGTTTCAACATTATTTCAGGATGCAGGTCTCCTAGCCACAGGGTTTTCCTCCCCATTTCCAAGCCATTTTGGATACTTAAGTGAGGGATAAGCAATAAGATTTGCTTCATTGGAACACTTTTTTTTGGTGCCTTCAGTTATCTTCCCATTCTTGGCGTTTTCTTTTTCCAAAGAACTACTTTCCTACTGCCAGAACCTTTTCTTTTTATCTAATTAGAGAGGAGAGAAGAACTATGAAATGAAAAGATAGAGTTAGAGATAGGGGGCAGCAAGATATATGTGAGAGAGAAGGCTTTGCACCAGAACGGAGGGAAGTAGAGAGAGAAAGTGTCCCATAAGACAAAATACAGAGAGAAAGGGAACTAAAATGTAAAATATATCTGACATCTCTTTGACAAGTGATTACATCTTCTTGGTTGTAGTTTATAGGGAACACTTTATATATATATATATATATATATATATATATATATATCATATATATATATATACATATACTGTATAGTAATTATTAGTCGTACTTATTCTATTGTCTTTCTTGTATTAAGTTAAGTTTGTACTATTATTGTTGTACATTTATT